ATGGAGAGTGACATCTTGGAAAATGCGAGCATTCTCCTGTTGGCAGCTGGGTGTTCATAGCTGTCTGATCTAAGAGTGGGAATCACGTCTGGACGCCTCACTTCAGGAGTTCACCTCACTCACCTCAATATATGAAGTGCTGAGAGACTAAACTCTGAGCTGTGTCCAAGTGCTGATCAGCTCGTACGCTCCTGCTGCAGAGAGACAGCTGGAAGCTGAAATCCTGTTCGACCAGTTATCCAGTCTGAGCTGCCTCGTCTTTGTCCACGCTGACTCGAATGAAGACACACGAGAGTTAAAGAGCTGCGAGCCGAGCTGCAGTTCCTTCGCTCCATCAGAGGTTTGCTCCTTTAGCTTGTAGCTGGAAGATTCCCAGACAAACACTCTTATTTTCATGATCCTGATTCTGCAACAAGCAGTGTTCACTCATCTTCTCCCAACCACCTGGGTGACGGGGCGCCAGTGTAAGCACCTCCTCCCAGCCACCTCCTCCAGTGGGACATTTCCCAATGTTCCCAATGTTCCCAAGCCAGCTGGGAGACATGATTTCTACAGTGTTACCAGGAGGTATCAGCCTCAGCTGGCTCCTTTAGGAGGCGCAGCAGCTCCTCGGCCTGTCACCGACGCTGAGCACAGGGGCTCGTCACAGGAAGTTTGTCTCTGCCGCTTCTGTCCTCGAGCTTTTTTCTGTCAGTTTCCACCCAGAGTGTCAGATCATTTACGGTGCGAGTGGGAGCGTAGGCTGACCAATCAGTCGACAGCTTCACCGTCAGACTCAACAAAACAAATCAGCAACGTGACGTGATCCGTCCGTCAATCTCCCGCTCGACTCCTTCCAGATTTCAGTCCAACCTGCAGCTGAGAACCATCATCATCATCATCGTCAGGTAATTCCGGCTCAGCCTCAGTGTGAGCTGCAGGTCGGCGTGCCACTCAAAGGTGGGTGTGGTCACAGAGTTCTCAGAGACTTCCCGTAGATCCGGCTCAAAGTGTGGGAAAACCTGTTCTTCCTGAGCTGCAGCTCTGCAGGAGCGCTGTGTCTCTGCACGTGATGCACGTGTTCTCAGGCTAAATCAACATTTTCCTTTTTTCTTGTTCCTGCAGCTCTGCGTCCACAGAAACAACAATTTTCTGTTTGTGCTGTTCTTTCTCAGCTGGGACTCCAGACCCTTTAAGTATGTCACCTTAATATTCTGTGCATAAAATTAACATCTCATGACTCGTTTATGCTTCTAATTTTCACAAGTAAACAGAAGTACTGCTTTAATTACTGCATGCTAATTATTTCTGCCTACATTTATTTGGAGGTGTTTGAAAAGGCGGCGAGTCCAAGTGTTCGTGGTCGTGGTGTGTTGGGGTGTAAGCACAGATTGGGAAAACACGTCGTGATATCTGTGTGTCAAAAAAGGAAAGGAAGCGTTTCTCCTGCAGAGCTGTGCTGATAAACAGGGAACGCTTGTGGAAGTCGATTCGCAGGAATCCCAGCCACGGCAAGAGCAGCGTGGGGTCTGACCCCGACACACCGCTCTGCAGACTCTCACGCTGATCCTCGCTTCACATCAGCCGCTGTTCAGACGGTTCGCAGGAAGTGAAGCCGTGTGAAGTTCAGGCAGAGTTTGATTTCAGATTCATGTCAGAGATCGCTCTCAGCTTCAGGTCGGACGCTGTTCCTCCTCTGACAGAGCGTTCCTCTACTTCCTGACTTCATCCTTGTCATGATAAATACTGCATCAGTCAAACGCCGTCCAAATACTTTGATTTAATGGCGTTTGTAATAAAATTCAGAGGAAAACCACGCAATAATACAACAATCAGAGGAGCTTTGGCAGCAGCGGGAAAGAAAAACTCCCTTTAAACAGGAAGCAACACTTCCTCTTCTTCCTCCAAATTCCCCGCAGCATCAGGATTCAGCTCTCGATGTTTGACCTGTTTTGTTGTTGTTACATTTTTAACGCTCCTCTCTCCGTCTGTCAGGTGTTCCTCGCCCCACGGTGTTGTGGCACAGGAAGGACGGGCTGCTGGACGCCGGCGCCGTCTCCCTGCCGTCTGGCTCGCTGTGGATCCGAAATGTTTCCGTGCACAACCAGGGCACCTACTCCTGCACCGCCACCAACGCCATAGGAAAGTCGACCGCCTCCACGGTCCTGAAGGTCCACGGTGGGTTCACGCATAAAGCCGACCTCTCGCCATAATCGCTCGCGTTGGGTCACGTGGAGTAACGTTTGTGTGTGCAGATCCTTATCCAGCCGGAGGGAGCCGGGTGCTTCCGGCGTCTCAGGAGCTGAGCAGGAGGAGAGTCCTCATGGCGTCACGGCGCGGCACGAGCGCTTTCATCAAACCTGGAGACGTCCTGCGCATAGGTACGCTTTACTCACCTCTGCTGTCACAGTCACATGATCACCAACGAAGACAACATCCTCTGCCCGGAGCCGCAGACTGACCTTTAATGTGATGACCAGATAAATATAGGAGACAAAACCATGATAGAATTTGCTGTTTATTAACCCTTTAAGACCTACCATAGAACCAAGTCCGCCAGAGCTTATATTATATGTTTACATGCTGTGGAGCCATTTTTGGGAGCATTTCAAGTTGCTATACATCAATACAACCATTATAGCCTAGATTCTAATAATATGTCTGCATTAAGTGCATAGTAATTACATAAATTGCAAAAAAGTGCAATAAACTACAAAATAATTGAAAATCGTTTTTGTTTTTTTAACATATATTTCTAGTTAGAGAAATTTAAGAGGCTTATCCCTCAAAACTGTAAATACAAAAAAGTTGCACAAAATAGTTTCCCACCACAGGAAATTTATTTTGAGTGTCTTCATAGTTTTATTTTTGAAATACACCAATTTTTATACACTGCAGGAAAAACGAAAATAAATATTATGATGCAAATTTGCAAAAAAGCAGCATATGCATCAAAATAAACTATTTGCAGCAGTGCAATATGAGTCCTAAGCATCCCAGAAACGACACAGAAAGTCATAAAGTCAAACATAACTTTTAAAAACACCAGTATAGGCTCATGAGGCCCTGATGGTAAAAAAACTACATTTCCACAAAAATGACGTCACTTCCGGTTTCGGGCAGGTAATGGCGGACATGCGATAGTTCGCGCTGACGTCTATTCCAACCTAGGAAGTGTTACAAACAGCTGATCGGATCGGCAAAGCGTGTTTCTGGAATATTATGTTTTTGTTGCTGCAAGTGCTTTTTATGCAGTTTTTGCAAAGCTATATGTGGAAGGAAACTGTGACCGAGGACAAGCTGATGGCATAAGATGTAAGTACAACTCCTCCGGTTTCATATGCAAAAAAAATTATTGCGCTAGCTCACGTGGTTGCAGAGCTACCGGGATTTAAAAATAGTTACGCAAAACGGAGCGTGCTGCTCCGACCGGCTTTAAAGGGTTAATAAAAAGGGTGAAGTTTGGAAACTTCACAGGCTTTTATTAAAAAACTGAAAACTGGTTCAGTGTCAGAATAAAATCGTCCTTAACTTTAGATTTTATCGGATTTAAAGTTAAGGAGAAGATCTCAGTCACAGCTCCGGTCTGAGTCTGCTGAATAACAAGGTCCCAGTCAGCGGACGGGCCGCCGCCCCCTCAGATGGATTTCTTTCATCCATTAGCATTAATGTCTGAACTTGATGGAGTTCCTGTTTAGCATTTTCAGCGTTATAATGTTAAATACAAACATTCTTTCTGCTCCTGCCTGTCGCAGGCTGTCCGGTGGTTTCCGACCACAAACTTCTTGTGCGCTGGGAGTACAACAACCGGACCCTGAAGGAGGTTTCGGCTCCGGCTCACTCCCCAGATCCCGGTCCGGGTCTGCAGCACAGGATGCTGGTGGGAGGTCGTGTGCTGGAAGTCAGCACGCTCCAGGGGAAGTTCGCGGGCCGCTACAGATGCCAGACCTTCATCAACAGCACCAGACAAATCCTGTCGGCCTGGATATACGTTCACAGCGAAGGTGAGTGTTTACGCCGCAGGGACGCTTTCCCAGGACGGGAAGTTTTTAAAATGCAGGTTTACTATCCTGTGCATGTCTCATATCAGCGGCTATCTAATGTAAATGAATATCAGGATATGCAGTGATCAGGTTGGTCTGGAGGCAACAGGAGGAGCTGAAACGAGAGGGCGTGTTCATAATGTGTGTGGACGACGGTGACGTAGTTCCTGAAGCTGAAAAACGTCTCCACCCTTAAAGCAGGCGGTAAAGGAAGCACCGAAGCTCCTTTCCTGAGTGTTTCCACGACTCTTCTCAGATTGTTACGATGTAACTGAATTTTTATGAAGTTTTATTGAAAACATTTTTCTGGTCTCGCTGATGCTGAAGCTGCATCTGCATGAATAAACTCAGCAAATGATGTCAGTAGTTGTGGAGAGGAAGGTAAACACAGGCGAACGGAGCGAGCTGGAAGTCATGAGACGAATGATAATTGGACCGAGCGAGTGATAAATGGCAGGAAGCGCGTCTCCTAATTCGTGCGTGGGTGGCGAGGAGTGCTTAATGTGTCTGAGAGGACGAGAATCCAAAAGCTGCTTAAAGTGTGAAGCTTAGTTAAAGTAAATACATTAAAAACAAAAAGCGGTGGAAACGTCTCCTCGAGACAAGTGGAGCATCCAGGGAACGCCGACGGAGGAGGAACGTCCCGGGTGGATGAGGCGTTTCATCTCTGG